AGGGATCGCGGGCGTTACCAGGAGCATTCAATAGACAGGTTGGTGTCTTACCTCCCCTGCTGCCTGAGAACAAAAGACAAAAATATGTACTTATGTCACATCTTGCTCCTATGCTGTGTGCTTAGTTTGCATTTTGTTTTTCAAGTGTCACGTAGTGGCTGTGGAATTTCTCTTCTAAACCCATGAAAAGATCTGTACTGTGCCATGAGTTAAAGCTTCTGGCAGGATTGATCAGTGTTTCTGCAGTGCTGTTTCACGTATTTGTAGGATTCTGAAAAACTTCTAAATAGTATTGTAGGCACCTAGAATTTTAACAAGAATATTTTGGCTTATATGTTAGGACTAACTGTGTTCCAGCTGTTTATGCCTTTTGTGGATAATATGGCACAATGTGGGAGCAGGATTTTTCATCTGTGTTGTTAAATAAATGGATTTTTATAGACTGCTGTGTGTTTTACTATCACAGTCTGATTCTAATTGTCTGTTTGTAGGAGAGATGGATCCAGAACAATTATGGGAGATCGGGATGGACAAGTGAGTTGCTTTATAGACCTACAGAAATATCTTTATATCTCATAACCTGGTTTTCTGTAGTGTGTGTGTCAGATTACATTTCAGTTATTGAGAATTACATTATATCTACCAAAATATGCTGGAATAATCAGATTGTCTTATTTACTTCAATAAGATGAAAATCAATTCAAAGACTTGTTTATTATAAAAGTTAGATACAGTTATTCTGATAGAAGACAAAGCAAGTGAGTTGTGTCAAAATACAGTATTCCAAAAGATTGCATAGAAGAGGCAAAGGTACAAATTCACTCTCTGAGGTTACATGGTAATAACAGCTGAACTGTAGAGATGTTTGTGTTTGAGGGCTGGGGGAAAGACTTTCAGGGCTCATTCAAGCTGTGACAGATGAATTTTATGGAGTCATAGTATCCTCAGTGGCCTTTACTGTGATGTTTGGAGGGACCTGGATAGGCTGGAGAGTTGGGCTGGTGGGAACATGCTGAAGGTTGTGTCAAAATACAGTATTCCAAAAGATTGCATAGAAGAGGCAAAGGTACAAATAACTCTCTGAGGTTACATGGTCATAACAGTTGAACTGTAGAGATGTTTGTGTTTGAGGGCTGGGGGAAAGACCTTCAGTGCTCATTCAAGCAGTGACAGATGAATTTTATGGAGTCATAGAATCCTCAGTGGCCTTTACTGTGACGTTTGGAGGGACCTGCGTAGGCTGGAGAGTTGGGCTGGTGGGAATATCCTGATGGTTAGGCTGCCACTCAGTGGCTGTCTGAAAAGACAAGAGTCAGTGAGCACAAACTGGAACACAGTTCCATCTGAAGAGGATTCAAATCCCCTTTAACTGGGAACACTGGAACAGGTTGTGTGGAGAGCCTGTGCAGTCTAGCTGGGAAAGCCTGGAGCTGGCTGACCCTGAGCAGATGTCAGGAGGTGCCTTCCCTCCCAGATGATTGTGAGATGGAGCAGTCAGAGCTGTGAGCAGTGTGTGAGAGCTCTGTCCTTGCAGCACTACCCAGACGAGCGCCACGGAGGCCCCGACCGGCACTCGCGGGACTCGCGGGAGAGCTGGGGAAGCTACGGCTCCGACAGGAGGATGAGTGAGAGCAGAGGGATCCCCCCCCAGTCACGGTTAGTGCTGAAAGCACCTCTTCTCCTGCTCCTAAGGAGTGTTTCCATGTGTCAAAGTTTTTGGAAGATGTTCTTTTTTCCCAGCTTTCACCAAAGGTGTATTGGATGGACTGCAGACGATTTGATGCCTTGTGCATCAAAATGTGCATTCACCTGATTTTTTTTTTAATAACTTCACATCTTAAAAGACAATGCTTTCCATTAATTTTAATTAACATTCCTATCAAAGCTCTCTATTTTAGTGGTTCTCCCCCAATATCTTATTTATTCATCATCTTAGTTGATTTGACCAGAAAAATTCTTCAGATATTTTACTTAACAGATAGCAATGTAAATATGTAAGATTGACATGGGCCTTGGTAAGACATTTCAGTAAGTTTGTGACTTAGATTCAAATATAAAAACTATTCCATATGCTCTGGCTTGTGTGAGGAGATGGGAATTCCCTTTCTTCACAGGGATGGACGTGACTGGGGAGATCACAGTCGGAAGTTTGAAGGGCACCAAGATCGTTCCTGGCAGAGCAGCGTGGATGGAGGGATGATAGGACGGGATCACGAGAGATGGCAAGGTATGGTTCTTGCACAGCTCCTTAGCTGTGCTGTGTGAACAAAATACAGACATTGTCCTTGAAGTCAGACTCTTGCTGTGGATATAAAGGGACTTTGAACTTTTTTAGGTGGTGCGGTAGAGGCAGACCTGGCCATGTGATGCATCGTGGAGGCATGTCAGGGTAAGAACTTTAAAAGGAGCAAAGTGTTTTCCTATTGAGGGACATTTCTTCTATTTAAATTGGCAAAAGAAACATTTTATGGGAGTTAATCTAATCTAATCAGTTATCTAATTTGTTGCTTAAATATCAAGGAATAATTAAATATCCCCATGGTTTTTATGTAATACATTTTATGGAAGAGTGAAAACAAAAAGAACACCCATTCTAGCAACCTGAGTGTATCAGCATGAGCAAATATTAAAATGTCTGAATCCCTTTCCAGGCGTGGCAGTTTCATGCAGGGGGGCAATCAGAGTCAGATCATGCACGGAGGAGGAATGCAAGGAGAAGGATTTGCTGGCCAGGAAAGGGCAAACAGACCGAACGATCCTCGTTTCAACCGTCGCTACTGATTGTGTTTGGTTTTTAATGCAAGGTGGCAAGTGAATCAGATCTGTTACCCAGGGTTACCATTAATTGTAACTTATGGGCTACTGTAAGTGTAATTTTTTTTAAGCTGCTGCCATATTATGTCACTCAATCCAATGTGAACTCATTTGTTTTGTAAGGTGTTGTTCATATCCCATTTAAAAATGTTTGTTAATGAAGCATTCCATTTTCCATAAATAAAAGCCAGTTTACAGTTACTTGCTTTGTTTCAGCAGTCCCTGTCAAACAGATTTCTTGTTTCAAAGATGAAGTGTCAAAATGCCTTACAGGTGTCCTTTTGCACTCTGAGGAAGAGTGAAATACTGTGGTTTCCCTCACAGCTGTCAGCTACCAACCCGTGTAACCATGGCCCATGTGCCACCATGAGAGAACATTTGTGGATCACAGCTGCCAAAGTTTGAATGCCCTGCCACTGCAAAATTGCCACAGGAACTTGCAGGGCAAGTGGTGAAGAATGCTTTTCATCTGGTGTCATGTGCAATATAATGCCTGAAAAATGAGTTAAATTCTGTGATAGCAGCACAGCTTCTGTAAGAAACAGCACAGAGGTGCTTGTCAGCATCACTTTATTTAGCTACTGATAGATCAGGGTAGTCCAAAACTCCACCAGTCTTAAAGCTCAGTAATTTTACCTAGCAGTCCACAATTTCCTTAGAAGCAGCCACTGGCTGTGCTTTGGCATAATTTTGTGTTGAGGAACTGACATGAATGAGATTGGTGCAAATGATCTGTTGTTTTGTCATATCCAAGTTATAATTTGTCTTTGTGCAGACATCTCTGGAGGAACATGACCTTGGCCTTACCCTAAAATGGGTTTTCTGATGCCAAGAGGAAAAAACCTTTCATTTGTAGGGTCGCTGGGGATTTTCCATCTTTAGAGAAGGGTTTTTTTATGAGTGGCATGAAGATATTTTTTCATTCATCAATGGAGAAAGCATATTACAATGGTAAAGCTTTGGAGAGCAATCATCAAAGGGCAAAGAAGTGGTACAGAAGATCCTCCTGAAAGTTCAGAGCACGGCAGAGGTGCAGTATTCTGTTTGTACACTGTGTGCTTTGCTCAAAGTGGTTCTGTTTGGTTTCTAGCAAAGCCAGAGAGAGGAAGACTCTCTAGATGAATGTCAGGATTTCCTAACCTCCAAGTGGTTCTGTTTGGTTTCTAGCAAAGCCAGAGAGAGGAAGACTCTAGATGAATGTCAGGGTTTCCTAAGTGGGAGGTTTGGCCTGGTGAGAAGGGAGAGTACACTGGAACCAAAGTTGTGCTGCTTCAAGAGCAATGGACATTGCAAAGTTAGGGAAGAAATGGGGCAGCAATAGAGGTTATTTGGGTTCTGGGGTGCTGTGAAGCATCTGGCACCTGCAGGACACAACTCCAGGGTTTACTGAGCTTGAAGCTTCCATCTGGACCGTGAGGTTTAAGAGCTGCTGCTGGAGCCATTCTTCAGGAATTAACTTAAGCACTTTTTAAAGCCATTTGCATCTTAGCCAAATCCTCTGAAATCTCTGGGCAGTTGCCTTCATCATGTATCTATTTGTTAAAAAAGGAAACAAAACTGCAAATCCTCCTTCATCCTCATGTTCTGTATTTGCTTCCTGACATGAGTAAGGACTCATCCTGCTGCTCCCTGTTCTGCAGCTGTGTTTTGGCACATTCTGTAATTATAACAATCCTATCAAAGAGGGTTAAAAACACAGAATCCATTTGTAATTTTATTTTACAAGTGGTGCCCTCCAGGCCACTGGTGCTCCTTACACTTGCCTGGTCTGTGACTGAAGTGACCTTGTGAAAGTTTTCATCCACATTAAAATGAAAATGCACAGTCTGCCAACTGGGGCATGGTGCAAGCTAACAAAAGGTTTCATGCAGATAAACTTTGCTCAGTTACTCTCCCCTGTGTTTGTATAATCCTCCTAGGCCATCTTTTACAGCATCTTTTACTGTTACCTTGGATTTTTGATTTTTTTTAACTCTTGTTGGCTTGGTTTGAATTAGATGGCATTCACCTTCAAGATCAATTCAGTTTCAGAATAATCTACTTCCTTTCCAAGCTTTAGGACAGAAGCTGTTCTCAGCACATGGCCATCACTTCATCACAACTAACTGTGATTCCTGGAGCCTTGGATCAGTGCTAAAACAAGCAATTATTCCACTCTGCAGGCTAAAACCAACCCAAATACAAAGGAAGTTCCACCAAAGTCCTTTATTGTAGCCCTTACATGGCTGAGCTGCCCTGCAGAGGGGTCTGAGAGAATCCTGAACCCTGGAGAACATGTTCATTTCACAAGATCCTTCACATACTTCCAGCCCTCCACTGTGTATTCACAGGCCCTGGTGGGAGCTACAGACAAGGCAGACATGACTGTGTGCACTCCTGCAAGGAAAGCAGAGAAGAATTACCCCCAGATCATCATTCAAGCCAAATTTCCAATTTCCAACACCACCACTGTAGATCTCTTCAAGCCCTGAGCATTTGTGACAGAAATTCCAACTTCAGTGTCTACATGAGCTAAGACAATGACAGGACTGAGCTCAGTTCCTTGTTTAAGTCCTGTTTTATTTCTGGCCTTGCCACAGACTCCATGGGTGATGGGTACATGTCACAGTTATCTGTGGATTGTGTTTCCCCACAGTTACATAAAGACTCTTTGCTGCACCATAAAACCTATATATAACTTAGGTATTTATAACATGCTTTGGCCCTCAAACAAAAATGTCTAAAATTCTAATAACAATGGGAATGCTCATCTCTTCTGAAAAGCCAAAAACTTAGCTCAGACTCAGTTAGTGAGCAGTTATTTTACCTTTATTCCAGGAAGCAGAGAAGGAAAAGTCAATTTTTGGAGTGGATGGGAGCTAGAAAGAAAGAGACAAAATATCAGCACTCGAGGGGTTTCACTTGGAATTCACACCACCTTGGCAAAGCCTCTTGACCTCAAAACCACTTAGGTGCCTACTCTGCATAAGCCTCAAAAGAGACCAGACATGATGCTTAAAATCTGGGCTTTGCTCTTTCCTGCAATATAAAGAAGGTGCAAAAGGTAGAACATATTATTTAGGTGCTCCTGAAAAAGCATCTCCATGGCTGTCTCTGTTAGTTTATAATTGTTTGTGATATGAAAACTCTTCTCAAACTTTAAGCAAAGGTCTCTTCTGAGGATTTTAAAAACTAAGAATTACTCATAGAGGAGGGGCCTCTTCAAGCAATTTAAATTCAATGTGAACTGTGAAAAATTGGGAGGATAATATTTTCATTGTTTTTCTTAATAACAAGTAGGATGCTTCAGAAGAAAACTACATAGTGAAATACCTCCCAGAGCATGTTTGCAATCCCCTCCTTGACCCTGCACAGGCTGCTTACCCCTCTTCTTTGAAATAACATGTGTGAGCAATGTCTCTGCCCCAAATTTAGCATTTTATTTGCCTTCCATTTCAATCCTCTTCAAAATATTTGCCATGTGAAATCCAGTTTCAACAGTAAAACTCCTGCCAGCCTCACTGGAATCAGAGTATCACCCCCATATTTTCTCCTCCTGACTCAGAGGAGGTGTTTGTGTTGCAGGGATCACCTGAGCAGCTCTTACCTCCCAGCCCAGGTAATCTGTCCACTCTTGGATAGCTGGAGGCAGCGTTTCTTGAGCTTTTTTGAGTGCTTCAGCACCTTCTGTGCCACTGCCCAGCAGCCCCTGGTCATATGCCACGTACACAGCAGCTCCAGCCAGGCCTCCTTTGACCAGAAACCTGAAAGAATTGAAAGCACAGCAGTTCAGTTCCTGTTCTGACCATCAGTGCATCTCTCCCAGTGGCTGTGGCTGCCAAGAGGGTATCAGTAAAGAAACCTCATGTCTTACTTAGGTAAAAATCAGCAGAAATATACCTACCTATGTTCCTTTCCTTCCCAGGACAACTAGTTCCTGTCAGCCCCTTGAAACTATTCCTAATTCACATTTTATCAGTGATGGTTTTCAATATAAAAATGAGAAAGTGTCAAATTCCTCGAGAGCATGTGCCACTTGTTAAAGCCTGAGAATCACTGGCATATTCCTCTGCTAAAAGCAACTAAAGGATTCTGCAGTGGGAAAACCATGCATGTTAATGATGTGGTTCTTCCTGATAAATCTGGTATTTATTTAGTAATTCTGACAGACACCAATATCTTGTTAAGCTCATTACAGCCCAGTGAACACCTGGCCATGGTGTTTGCATTGCCAAGGCTTTTAAAGTTTCCCTGCGTGATGTGCAGTCACCAGTTTTACAGCTGTGATGGCAGCCTACAAAAGGGAAGGGAATATTTAGCATTTACTGGCATTTCTATTATAAATAAGAGATCTGAGGTGACTGACTTCCCCAGACTCACACGGCAGAGATGTTTTCCCTTTAAAAAACAGCAAAACAAGGGGACAACCCAAAATTTGGCAGACAGTGGTACTGCAGTAGTAGGACATAGGATAGATACAAGAGAGCTGGGAAGAAAGAACAGATTTTTAAAGTCGTGTATTCACACGCTTTTCGGGGAAAAGCGATTTCTCTGCTGAAATGCACCCCAAGGACACCCTTCCGCACTGCCTCGCTGTGGGTGCACCCACAGCTCCGAGCCCCGCGCTACTCCCAGCCTCGTTACGTGTCCATGCCCGCAGACAGCGGCGGGGCCTCCCGGCGAGCGCAGACACACACCGGGAGCTGCGGGGGCGGCCAAGGGCGCGGAGCGAGGCGAGCACAGCCCAGGGACAGGGCCGGCCGCGGGCCTGGGGACGGGCGGGGACAGCGGCGAGCACTGAGGGGCGGGCGGGAGGGGCGTGAGGGGCCGGGCAGGACCGGGCAGGGCTTGAGGGGGCCGGGCAGGACTGAGAGCGTGAGGGGCCAGGCGGGACTGAGGGGCGTGAGGTGCCGGGCAGGACCGGGCAGGGCTGAGGGGCGTGAGGGACCGGGCAGGGCTGAGGGATGTGAGGGGGCCGGGGAGGACCGGGCAGGGCTTGAGGGGCGTGAGGGACCGGGCAGGGCTGAGCAGGGCTCGGGAGGCTTGAGAGGGACGGGCAGGGCTGAGGGTGGGAGGGCGCCGGCCAGGACTTGAGGAGCGTGAGGGAGCCGGGCAGGGTCGAGGATGTGAAGGGGCCGGGCCGTTCTGAAGGTGTGAAGGGGCCGAGCGCGGCTCCTGCGCCTTTGTGGCGCTGTCCCCGCCGCTCGTTTTGTCGCGCTGTGTCGCAGCGTGGTGGCGGAGCAGCTCATCCTGCTGCTCTTCTTATCCAGACAAGGCTCCGTCCTGCGGGCTCTGCCGCCGCCTCCCTGCCGAGATCCGGCTGCCTTGGGGTCACTGCTGCCAGCTGTCATTAGTCTTTAATGAATTAAGAGTTCTCTAAGATTAGACACAAGGGTGGTTTTTTTTGTTTGTTTTTGTTTTTGTTTTTGGTTTTTTTTCTGTAGGCTCTGAGTGCAGAGCGCTGTGGGAATTGCCGGTGAAAGATCCTTTTTATTCTTGACCAAGGTGGCTGTGGCTCCCGGGGGAGAGACCCCCTCAGCTCTACAAAAGCCTTGACGTGCCTGTCCCAGGCTGGCTTCAGGCATCAGAGAAAGGAGAACACTATATTATTTTGGCTGAAGTACTCAGCTTCAAGACTTCACTTTGTTCCTCACAGCTTGGAGGGATATGAAGCCAATTGGAAAAGTGCTTTGTGCTACAGGGGTTGTAGCTGGGCTCATAGCTTTCTTCTGGAAAGACGACTTTAACCCAGGTAGGCTCATCAGGGGGATGATTTCAAGCCGAAATATGTCACACAAGGGAAGATGTTGAATTTCCAAACTTTGACTGATGGTCTCATTCCTGCCCATAGTCTTACTAGAGTTGGTGGCCCCAAAGCAATGTTTCATTCCCAGAAACAAAGAGAAACTTGAAACAAAGAGGAAGATAAAATGGTCTAAGAGCAGGGATCCTGCTGTCTCTGTGGGGGAAAAAACAGCACTTTGCTACTACCTTGCTCTTTCTATGTTTTGGTTGTAAATTCCTTGGTGTCAAGAGCCGTCTCTGTAGGTGTGCAGTGCCTGGCACAAGAGGGCTGACATGTCTCCAGACTGATGGCAAGGAGTAAATGATATGCAGAAGGCACATAGCCCAGTTTCTGCTTTCTGTACAGCTTCTCAGAAGGTGAAAAACAACTTCGTTCTTGAAAGATTTTGGTCTAGCAACCCAGGCTAGGCCCTGTGACACAGCTAGCTGCCATCGTCATGTCATTGCATCACCTGCTTCTAGTTTTGGAGAAGCACCAGGAATTTTGAGCACTCAGGTGAATCTTTCTTCTTTAAAGCTCTGCCAGTAGTTAAGGGCAGCTCCTCTGCTGCTTTCTTCACTTCTGTATCTTTTATTCTCTTTCCCATGCATAAAAAAGAGAGCCTGTCTGGTGCCCGTGTTCTCGTGACTGGAGCCAGTGCTGGGATTGGAGAGCAGATAGCATATCACTATGCCAGATTTGGTGCTGAAATTGTGTTGACTGCCAGAAGGGAAGCAGTGCTGCAGAAGGTAAGAACCTCCTCCTTGTATGGGGGAAGACATGAGAGATTCAGGCTTTTACCAAACCAACAAAAAAATTAGTTGTCAGCATGATAGATTTTCCTTTAGAACTGTTCAGCATAAACCCAGAAGAGAAGCTGGCCTGTACATGAAGATGCAAATACAATGCCTGAGCTTTTAACTGCCTGAACATTTATTTATATGAGGGGATGGTGTGAAGCTGCATCAGGGAAAGCTCAGGCTGGACATTAGGGAAATGTTCTGCACTGTGAGGGTGATCAGTCCCTGGATGAAGTTCCCCAGGGAGCTTGGTCATGGTACCAAGCCTGTCAGAGCTCAAAGAACATCTGGGCCACATCCTTAATGATATGGTTTGGTTTGAGGGAGTCCTGTGAGGAACAGGGATTTGGATTTGATGATCCTTATGGGTCCTCTTCAGTTTGAGATACTCCATGAACTACAATTCCTATGCAACACTGTGCAGCTTTTCAGAGTCCAGATTGTTCTATTGTAGCTGTTTTGTTAAAAACTCAAGACTTTTTGTAGGTTAAATGCTTTTTACCAACTCCAACAGTTGAGACTTCTTCATCTTTATGAAATGGGACAATATTTAGAAAGGGTAACTCTTTAATTGTGGGCATGTGTGACTTCCAGGGAAAGTTCTTCACTGTGAAATGGTGCAAAAGGTGAGTTGGGGACAGTGAGCATAATAATAGCTCCTCATGACTGGAAGGCATTATTTCAGCAAATAGCTAAAACTGCATATCATTGCCAGGCACGTTCACACACTCAACATAGCAAAGGAATTATGAAAGATGAATTCTTTTCCAGCTATTTTGGAAAAAAAATAGAAGAACTTAATGTAAAGCATAACCCTTGTTCCAGAAGATTTCCCCTGAAGAAGACTGGTTTTTTTTCCAGTGAATCTTGATCCTGTCCCAAAGTAGATTGTTTAAGCAGACAGTTAAATAGAGGTAACTCTTTGCAGGATGCAGATTCAAAATCTGGATGCAGAATGAGCTCTCCATGGCCCAAACAGCAATAAATTTTAAATTAAAGTGTATCTCTGTCCAGAACTGACTCTCACTGACTATAGTATGTGCTTTATAGTGCCCTTTCCCCCTAATCTTTTTTCAAATAGTTTAATCCTTGGGGTGTGTTCTTTTTCAAGGTGATGGAGAAATGCCTGACACTCGGAGCAAAGAAAATATTTTATATCCCTGCAGATATGTCTTCCCCTTCAGAGCCTGAAAAGGTGGTTCACTTTGCTCTCCAAAAGCTGGGTAAGCATCCTGAGCATCTCTCTGGCTTTCAGGTGTGTGCACAGTTCTCTTTCTAGTAGGAGCTTCCTGCTTCAGTTCCCTGAACTGAGAAAGGTGTTGAGGACATAGATGTACCACCAGAGCTAAATTCTGATCCTGAATCAAGCTGAAACATCATTTCAGGGAGTTATTGTCAAAGTCAAACAGTTTTCCTTTCAGTTCTACTCCTGAGGAGCAGTCAAAGCTGCTCCCAGATGGGCATATTTAATGTGTCTTCATGGTTAAAGCACTTCCCAGCCTTCTGAGGGAGTGGCTGAGCCCTCCTGGCATTTCTGAGCCCCCTGGTTGATGGTCAGGGCATGGGCCCCCTGTGTGACTGCTTTTTGTGCTCTCCAAGGGGGCCTGGATTACCTCGTGTTGAACCACATCGGCACCAACCGCTTCCAGGAGTGGGCAGGAGATGTGGAATACACCCGCTGGCTCATGCAGGTGAGGCTTCCCAGCTCCCTGGAACTCAGCCTGCCTTCTCCTGGGACAGCTTTGGAAGCTCCAAGGCAAATCCATGTCTGTGGCAGTAATTGAGAACAATCCTTTTACATCATTCCTGTTTGGAGGCTTTGTTGCTAGAGAGGTGTTTTGCTCAGATGTTGTACATTTGTGAAGAGGAATGTTTGGGAAGAATTTCAGACTTCTTCCTTCTTACTTCCCTTTAGCCCAGGAGTTTAGGATTGATGGGCAGTTCCAGGCAGTTGTGTTTAGTTCAGGAAGGTCTCTAAGTGAGCAGCCAGCACTTCCTACTGGTCTATGGCATGTGCACAAATGCAGAACACAAAGTTGTTTGAAATGGTGTCTGCCATTTGAGTCTCTGTTCACAGATTTAGAGTTTTCCTGTAGAATCACCCTGGTGCCAGGTTTTGGGGCCATGGAAATGGAGAGCTGTTCTCTTGATTCACTCTTTCATTCAGGTGGGTCATACTAGTTTCTATTTCATTTTGGAAGGAGGCTTTTTGCTGGACAGTGGGAACTTAGGTAAGACATTAATATAATTTAAGAGAGCAGTCAAGCTCTGAAGAGATGCTGAATTTTGTGCCTCATTGTAGTCTGAGCTGAGTCAAGAAAACTTAGAAGGGGAGCAAACTGAGACTCTGGTGTCTTTGGTAGGAATTGCAGAATAAAGAAAAGCATAAAGAAAAAGCAGGGACAACTAATTGTATTCTTGTAAAGAAATGGGTATGTTAAAGCCTGGGAATAACCTTTGCTCTGAAACTTTTCCAGAAGATTCAGAGATTCAGAAGATTGCTTTTTCTGAAATCTGAAAGACTGATGGATGCAATGTTTGTCCCCATCTTTAGAGATGATTTTTCTCACTTGGTGTTTGAAAAAGCAGTTCCAAACCATGCTCCTTTCCATTTCTGACCACTCTATTGACTTTCTTGGCTCACGCTTTCAAAGCCTCTTGCTTCTTCCATGTCTACATTTATCATTCCAGGTGAATTTTTTGAGTTATGTGGCCCTTGCAACAGCAGCTCTTCCCACCCTGGAGAAGAACAGAGGTGCTCTGGTGGTTGTTTCTTCCCTCACAGGTTGGTGACTTTACCTGGAGTAAGTGCTGGCCTTGTGGAAACAATGATTCCCAGTACTGTTCATATCTACTGTTTATATTTCTGTTATTCAACTCCGAAATGCATTTTCAAACTGTGCTTTTCCTAGTATATAATAATAATAAATACATAATAATATGCTAATATGTATTCTAATATACTTACATAAAGGGAGACTCACAGAACAGAACATGAGTTGATACAGTTTGACAAAGCCTGCACCTTCTCTCCATGGGTCCTCCTTACACCCAGTTTCCTGGGGTTTTCCATTCTCTCTTTTCCCTTTCCAGGGAAAATGCCCACTCCCTTCACCACTTCTTACTCTGCCACCAAGTTTGCCCTGGATGGATTCTTCAGCTCACTGCGCCACGAGCTCATCATGCAGAAGAGAGATGTGTCAGTCACACTGTGCATCCTGGGCCTCATTGACACTGAGTCAGCACTGGAGTACACCAGGTATGTGTTTGTCTGCAGGAACGCATCTCTTCTTGAAAACATGCAAAAAAATGCACAGCAGCTCTGTCTAAGAGGGTGTGTGCAGCTGCCTGGGCACACCACAGGGCTGTTCATGATGGAGCAGAGCAGGCAGAGCCCTGCGGGTCAGCGTGCCCAGCTCGAGCCCCAGCAGGCGCTGCCCGGCTCCGAGTGACCCCGCGCCATTGCTTGCAGGGGCAAAGTGCACCTCAGCGCCTCCCCCGCTCCCGAGGCCGCGCTCGCCATCGTCCGGGGCGGAGCCGCTCGGGCACACGAGATCTTCTACCCGCGGTGGCTGCAGCAGCTCTGCTGCCTCTGGGCTCTGTTCCCCAGCAGCGGGAACCAGGTGCTACGGACTTTCTATAACTACAGCAGTCCCTGAGGGCTGCCCGGGCTCATCCTATAGCCCTTCTAGTCACATTCCTGCCATCCCACTAAGCATCCCACTCGACCACTGCTGTCAAAGTCCCATTTTCCTAACATGACTCATGGCCTGTCATCATGCTTCAGCCATGGTTCTGCTGCTGTTACCCATCAGTCAGAGATCTTTCCCACTGTTCACTCTGCCTTAGCCCTCCTCCCATCTCCCCTCCTTCAGTCTGCTTTGACTGCATCCAGCCTTTGCTCAGCCCCAGCTGTAACCCTGTCTGTCTGCACAGCATGCCCTGGAAGGGCTGTACATTCCTGGGACATCCTTCCTCCACTACTTTTGGATCCCATGAACCCTCTTGCTTCCTCTAAGTAGAATTTTTATCTCTATTTTAATTAAACAAGTTTTTAATGTGTTGGTGTTATGTGTTGATGCTTCCCCTGTGAAGGAACACTGGACCCCTGGATTCTGTGGGCCAAGGCCTGTTTGCTGACCCCGTGTCACCTGTTAAATTAGCCCAGGGCTTTGGCAATGTCTTCAAGTGTAAGCATTACCTAAAAGCAGGTCCAACTAACAACAGGAAGTAGAGTCCCAATTACTTAGCAAGTAAAACTTTTATTAAATAAATTTAGGATTTTTTTTTTGACCAGAGTGAGGAATTTGACATTGACAAAGCTTGTATCGCACCTGTAACATTGTACAGTCACATCAGTAACTGTGATGGAAGAAACTGTAAATGCTTGTTTTAAACCAGCTTGACCTAGGATTCCCAAAGTCCTTTTTTTTCCCATTTTGCATTTGTTCATATTTTTTCTTTTTTTTTTTGTTTTGTTCAAAATTAGACTAAGTTTAAACTTCATGAAATTACTTGTAGCAGAAATAAAGTACATTATACAAATCACATACATAATAGATGTTAAGTATAAAAATGGTATTTACAATAAGTAAACATGGACTATAGAAACACACAGACTCTCACAGCTTCATTCACCTCTCATAAACTCTCAGCGTCAGACACAGAAGGGTGGTTGAGGAGATCTGAAGGTACTTAAAGGACTGTGCCACAAACACCTGAACAAAGGGCAAACTGGAGGAGAATGAGAGTTGGCTGAGATTCTCCAAAATCCCCATAGCTCACTTCAGTATCAATTGCACCAACTTTACCCCACCAACTCTCTTGTCCCTATTTCAATGTGCTCACACACCCTCACACACACGTTTGTGGTTCCTTATCAAACTCTGAATATTGAACTCGTTCATTCCTAATCACTCTGGGGTTTGTTGGTCTGTTCTGCCTTGCTTTCCTTTCCTTTCCTTACTTCTGTAGAAACTTGAAGAGACTGTTCCAAACTGTTCAAAGGATGTGCCTTGTCAGGGTGACACACACCCCCCACTCCCAGGGGATCTTTTTGAAATCCAGTTCTGAACTACATTCTGTGCTTTAGAGTTTGTGTATATAGTGTATAGAGCTGTCCCTACATATATATATGTGTATATATATGTATATGCTGCATAATGTATAATCTGTCTCTTGGAGGGGTGCTGGGGGGAAAATCCCAGAATGGAACCCTCTTTCATCCTATTTTCCTTGCATCTGCTGGGGCAAGCTGTGCAGCGGGTGCATGAGGAGAGTCCTCCTGCTGAATTCAGAGGGAGAAAACGTCCTGTGTCATCTGGAAGGAGAACTGCCCACTCCCCAGTGCTGGTATCCGACACAGGGAGGCAGTGTGCAGCCCCTGGGAGCCTTCTCTAGCTGTGCTGGAGATTGCATCTGCTCACACTCTCATCTTCTCCTGCCTTCATCAAGAAAATGCAGTTGCCATGGAGAGCTGTGAAACACGGATCTGTGCCATGTGTGGGGAGGCAGTGCAGTTCCTCTGAGGAAGGGGACTGGTTTCCTGTGCTTTCAGCCTGATCACAGAGTGCTCAGGGCAGGGGCTGGCACCACATCCCAGGAGCTTTGTCTGCAGAAGCCCTTGCAAAGGTAAGACAGAGCTCTCCAGATCCTTAACCAGGCTGGTGCTAAGGTGGATGAGTGACTCAAGCTGAGCAGCTGACTGTGCCCTAATCCTGGAGGAATGTATTTCTCCTTCTTGCTCGTGTTGAGCAGAGATGTGCTCTCTCTCTCTCTCTCTCTCCCCAACCCACCCCCAGCTCCCTCTCTCCAAAATGTTCAGTGCTGAGAAGACACTGTTGCAAAGGCAAACCCCCAATTTCCAATACCTCTTGCAAGCAGTCACTCTCTGAATGGAAAAGTTTGGTCCTGTGAGCTAGTTTAAAAAAAAAATAGAGACTGTATATATTTATAGTTATCTATGAAAGGGCCAGAAACAGAGCAGGAGGGAGGGAGGGACGGAAGTAAATTTCCACACATCACTGCAGTAACCTAGAGACACACCATGGGTTTGCTTGGTCCATGTTCTCCAGCCACACCCCGAGAGGAAGGGCTCCGTGTCCCAGGGGCTGCTGGTTTGCTGGTCCCTTTGCTTTGCACCACGTTAGCAGCAAATATGCGAGTCCAGGCGTGGCAAGAATCTTCCTCCTGGGCAGATATTGAGCCTTCTCTTTAATTGCATGTCTTGGAGAGGAGGGGAGGAGGAAGATGGGGTGGGTAAGGTGGGAAGCCGAGGAAGGAAAGGGGTGGTGTCAAAAGAGTCGATAAATTTACTGGCCTCTCTGAAAATCAACCTGAAGCAGAAATTCTTCCTCTGGACTTTCCCTTCACCTGAACAGAAATGGAGGAGGGAGGGAATTGGGAGGTTAGGAGGACGTCTGTGCAAACCTCAGGCTTTGAGCAGCAGGATTCTGACTCAAATCAGATCAGCTCTCCCTTGCTCCCCATCTGAAGGCTAGCAGGAGCTGGCTCTTGGACAGCAGCCCATCAAGGGTCTCAACTTTTCTCTGCTTTTCTGTGATCCTTGTGAATCACAGGATTCCTCTTCTCCCTCTCTGTTTGCAGACTAACTTCAGGGCCCATGGAACAGCTGAAAACTACTGGGGTTTAATACCTTTTTAGGCAGTCAAAAGCTTTTTGGGAGCAGTTGCACAGCAGAGTAAAACCTTGCTTAGACCACAAACAGGCCACTGGAACCATCTACCTGTCAGGGCACTCACAGGCCTTGGTGAACTTAACCAGCCCCACTGTCTGCCCCCACTGCCCACAGCTCCAGGAGTCTCCTCACAGCTCCGTGCCATCAGCCTTGGTCTGGCACACAGTGTGGAAGTGCCCGTGTCCACCTGCCCATGGACCTGTGCTGGATCTCATTACCTGGGCTCCAAGCCCTGCACTGGCTTCCCACCTCAATGTTTATTATTGCCATGTAGACCTGCCTGGCAATCGCTGGGCTCTGACCCTGCTCACCTTCACCAGACCTGACCCTGATCTTGACTCTCTGGCTTGGCTTTGGGCTTGCCCCACAGCCACAGATTTGCCTGCTGATTGCTGAACCTGGCCATCACCTCAGGCCTGCTCTGGTCACCCCGCTGAGCTGCAGCCTGTGCCCCACCAGCTGTGTCACTGCCTGCACTCCTGGCCTGCCCCTCTGCAGGCGCACGGGAGCTGAGCAGAGCTGTGCCCTGCTGGGGGCAGTTTACCTGTGCTGCAGAAGTGACTCCTGCTTGCTCACTGCTGTCAGTAGGGGTGGTTGGCATCCTTGGGCCGTTTTAACTGGACCTTCAAGCGTTTCATGCCAATCTGGAAGCCATTCATGGCCTGGATAGCAGTCTGTGCACTGGATGGGTTGTCAAAGCTCACAAAACCTGAAGGAAGGACACAGGGTGGGTGACAGTGGCACTGCTGGTGCCATGCCCCGTGTGAGTGTCATTGTTATTATCATGCTTCCCTTCCCTGCACTCACCAAAACACTTGCTCTGGTTGGTGGCACGATCCATGAACACCTTTGAGGAGATGATATTGCCAAAGGGCAGGAACATCTGCATCAGCTCGTTGTCTCCAAACTCCTGGGGGAGATGGTAGATGAAGAGATTGCAGCCTTCAGGACCTGCAGGTATGGGGGTGATGGAGAAACAAAAAGCCCCCAGAGGGCAGGGGAAGAGAAATGGGCTCAACTCACAGCACAGCACTGGAGGAGAGCCCTAGCACTGCCTCCTGCCCTGACCTCCCCTTGCTTGTCCCTGTCACTGGTCCATCGAGGGATCTGAGGGCTCTTGAAGAGCAGCTGGGAGACTCTATACAAAACTAGAGTTTCTGGAGAGCAGATTCTCTTTCAAAGCTTGCCCAGCTCCTACACAGGGTGCTGGACACAAGCAGCTCTGTGAGTGTCTGGGTGCTGTTTTGCTGGAAGGAAATCAGCTGAGGTGAGAGCTCACAGCTGTCCCAGTCCCAGGAGAGTGGCAGACACTGCTGTGTGAAAGCTGCTGCTGTAGCACTCCCTGCAGCACTGCCTTCAGTCCAGAAGCCAAAGCCTTAACTGGAAACCTGCTGGATTGCCACACATCCAATTAATGGGATGACCTGGTCCTGTCCACTCCTTCACTTGCTCCTTAGGAGCACAAGAAGCTGCTCCCCTGCTGACACTTGCTCTACCAATCAAGTCCAGAGAGACTGCCTTTGCCTCCAAATTCTATTCAAGCCAGTTTGAAGTAAGTTGAAAATAAATTCAGTAGGCTCTGAAGGCTGAAAAGAGAGGAGAGCACATTGGAGAGGCTGCTTTGACTGGTTCCACTGTGGTTCTGGCACCAGCCAGAGAGGCATGAGTGCTCCTTGCCCCTGGGAAGGTGCTCTTTGCACAGGGAAGGTGCTGACTCTCATCCCCTTTGGTGTGGACGGTGTTCCAGGGCCTACTGCCCCTCTGCACCTGGCAGCATCTGGCCAGATGTGAGGTCAGGAAACATCCTGTGATCCTTCCCACTCACTGCAGACATCGGGTTGTTTCCATACCCCAGCTCCAGCATTAAAGATCAGTGGACAAAAATTAGTGCTATCTCCTCTCCATTGTCTCTGTTGTGCAGAAGATGAGCTCCACAAATCCCAGCCACACCACTGGACAGCCCTGTTCCCCCTGAGATGCTCACCTTCTCTCTGCTGCTGCTGCAGGATGGGAGGCTGCTGAGGGATGCTCTGTGCAATGGGGGTGATGGTGGTGGTTGGATACACAGCTGCAGCCCAAGGACACAGAACAAACCATTTACCTGAGGATCTGGTCAGCCACACGAGGGGCTGAGGGAGGCAAGGGAAGCTGGTACCTGCATACTGCTGAACTCCTGTGAAGGCTGGGTGCAAAGTCTCTGCTACTGAAGGGCTCTGGGCTGCAGAGAAAAACACAATCAGGAGCACAGCAAAGGGAGTCACTCATGCATTCTCTGTGTGTGTGTTTAGTGTTGTTTCCCACCCTCGCCCCCAAGTGAGTCTCAGTGCCTGGCTGGGAGGGAGCTACAAAAATGTGGGGAATCCAA